ACGACCTATACCAACCGAGAAAAAGGCCTGGTACGGGTGGTCTGAAACACCCTGTATTAAATCCTAAGAGAGCGGAGCGGCGCAGCGTGCTACCAGCGCGAGAGGCTCACTGGCGCCTACAAAACTAAGTGGATACTTCACGCATTGCACAATGCCTGAAGTATCCACTTAGATTTGTAGGCGCCAATGCGCGTTTTGCGCTGGTCGCCCGCCCGCCGTGCGCGCGGCGGCGCCTGAAGCAACTATTTCACAACAGAGTAGTGTTGCACAGTATTATACGAAATGGAACGTATTAAGAATGACAGGCATCCTTTAAAAGTACAAATCTTTCTTCGCAAAAGAAATCAAAATACTTATCGTACACTGGAAAAATCTAAGAGCCTTTAGCTGAGGCAAATATAGAGGTTTATCCGGTTCAGGTATAAGAAGGTGGGAAAATCTTGAAAGATAATTAAGTCCTGTTACACCAAAGAGGTGTAGAGAATTTTAGTGAATTTTGTCTCATGGAATTGACGCTCCCCCATTTTTACCAAAATTCTCTACTACATATTATTCTCCGTTGGACCAAACAGACAAAACAAAAAAAAACAAGCAAACCCTAATTCTTCCAGGACATTACACATTTTCATCCAAAAACGTTGTGAGCAATTGTCGTTTGTATTTACATGTGGGCCAATTAACTTTGCGTCTCAACTGGCATGTGGACCAAAACTCCCGTGCCGAAAAAAACGCGTGGACGTAAATTACTGGAAAAAACAGATGCACGGCCAAAAAATCGTTGACGAAATATCCTATAACCCCACAAATACTCCTAACCGTTACACCTAATTAATCGTACTCCTAAAATATTATATTAAATGTCTTTAGATGGCTCTAGGCTCCTCTACTGGAGTAAAGGCCTCTAAAATAACAAAAAGAAGAAGAAGAATTTTGAGGTTAGCACTGATTCTCATGATTCATAACTGGGAAACATTTTATTTGATATCCCATTCCAGGAACCTTGGCTGATTGAAGAAGGCAGAGACGTGATGGAGGCAAAATTAGCACAAGCCACTCTCATGGGGCAGCTCGAGGACTGTCATAAAACCGCTACGCAATGTAAACAGTACCAGAATGAAGCTAAAGTAAGCCTGTCTTAATTCATTTTAATAATGTTGACACTTTTTACAATTTTGTTTCGCACTTTGAAGAGAGATTTGATACGTTTTTATGAACAAATAATTAGCTTGTTCACCCGTTAAATATTTTTAATTCGTGAATTTTTAAAAAGTAGAGACAGCACTTAATTTCAGAAATTGTCAGAAAAATTCTTGTCATTGTTTTTAAGAGTCTGAACTCTAGATCCAATGTGTTTTTTTTCCAGTGAGGGTGTTAAATAACCGCAAAAGTGTTAGATAATTTAGAGAAGGCCCTTTCTCCGTTTTTGGAAGATAACTTTCTTATTTTACACGGAAAATTGCGCATACACCAGTTTTTAGTGGTTTAATTTTTTTTTCCTCTTTTAAGGAAAATTCGGCTTTAGAGCGTGTAATGCACGACATAGAGACTTTGAAACTCTTATGGGAATGCTCTGACGCTTGGGAGACAGTGGTGGAGGAGTGGTACAAGGCTAATTTTCACACACTACAATACGATGCCATTAACAGTTTTGTCGTTAAGTACCAGGCTGACGTCACGAAACTTCAAAGAGGATTGCCGTACAACGTCGTCGTCCAAAAACTCGAGGCTAACATCAAGTCTCTCTCAGAAAAAGTAAGACAAACCTCAATTCTAGCATACATCACGGTCTCCCATCAAAATCAACTAAAACAAGCTGCTGGTTCCAACACTACTGTGTTGGAGAGCTCGCCTTCGTGAAACTATTAACATGACAAATTTTTCACACCGCAATAAATAAACTGAATCATTAATAAAACAGAAGATAAGAGTGAGATAAGACAAAATACAATAGAAAAATGGTACAACGAAATTTATTGTAAAGTTGACAGGGAAAGATGAACTAGGACAATTATTGGATAAAATTATTGGACAATTATTATATAAAATTAATTTTATTAGTGGATGTACATGGGGCATGGTGTTTCTGATTACTATCTGACACAGTTC